CATCAGTAGGGTAAAAAAAAAAAACAGAAAGGGGGGACCCACCACCGCAATCCCACTGCTATCTCTTAAGGAGATGAGCAGCGCCCCACTATGCTAGTGAATATTTTTTTTCCTCAGCCTTTCTGTTTATGCTTTCTTTATTGAAGTAACCAAATAACGTAAAGAGTATGAAAAGGGGACCGCTCCTCCAAGACAGCAGAGGGTTGTGTGGCACCCTCCTTACAATTCGCCCGAAGGCCGGAGGTACCTATCAACCCTCCGTTGTCCCATTGGTAGTCGTGCAAATAAATATAATTTTTTCCCTATAATTTGTGAGCTTAAGACTAACGCAGCTTTGTGAAAATTAAAGTTAACTCTAACCTTCGTGATGGATGGCCTTAAGTTACAAAAGCATCCAGGAGGTTGAGGTGATCCAATGCCAGTAATTCTTGAAATAAGTCCTCTGGTCCTCTGGAGACTGGGAATTGGAAGTGCTAAGCATTCTGGAGCAAGCGTTATACAATCTGTAATCCTAGAAAGGGTCGTCCATCTGCAATCAAGTGCGACAAGTGAAAGTAGGTGATCTTTTGTTCTATCAAGTCTGCTAGTTATATGTTAGTTCTCTCCATCTCCAAAGTCAATGTTAGCAATATATGCCTCCAGCTTACGTTTGTAGGAGCCACATTTATTATCTCTTGGCTTGTGTTTAGCGTCTTCTTTAGCGTTTAAACATAAAATGCACCTATGTTTATCGATATCTTCTTTGTCTGGGCAGGAACGAGAATCGTGCTCCTTAGCGCAGAAACCACATGCAATTTTGTTGTTGCATTTGGGAGCTATGTGTCCGTAGCCTTGACACTTGTAACATTTGGTTATGGAAATTCGTTCGTCTATTTTGCAGGAGTTCCAGCCGATGTACATGGTGCCTCTTTGTAATAGTATCTTCCTTGCCTCTGGACTACACTCAATAACCCAATGCGTGAAGGGCTTTCCTCTGGGTCCTACTTTGAATATTGGTTCTATTTTAGGAGGGTCTAAGGTAGTATCAAAGTTTTGCTTTAGAATTTCATCTTTGACCGATTCTTTTTCTAGGTCAACGGGAACATTAAATATAATTAGTCTAGGTAAAAATTTACCTAACTGCTCTACTTTGATTTTTAATCCTTCGGTTAATTGTGGATTATTAAGTTTGTGCAAGTTAATGCTATCGGCCTCTATGATGACTTTCTCGTCATGGCGAACAAAGACCCTGACAGGATTAAAGCCGATATCGGCAGGTTTGATACTCTGCAAAATTTTATTTTTCGTATCAATGCCTTTCATACCTTCATCGGTTGAAGAAATTGCGATTTTGTAAGTTTTGGGCGGAGGAGCCATGGGTTTCTTAATGCCCTGCACCTTGATAGTGTTACCAGCAATAGCTGCATAAGTTCTATTTTGAGAAGACCCAAGGGATTCCAACTTCCTTTCATGAGCCTCTAATTTAACATTTTGTTCATTGATTAAGTCCTTGATTTCATTAATTGAATCTGGAATCTCTGCAATTGCTTGAAAAAGGTCTCCCTTTAAATCATCAATCTGTTTCTTAACTTTCCTTGCCGAGTCTTGAAGTTTTGTCTTTGTTTCTCTACTTTCTCTATTTAGACCAGAAATCTGGCTAGTTAGAGTTTTAAAAGCAAGCATAACTTTGCCAAACTGCTCTTCTATCTTAATTTTGACGGGTGACGGTGTACCCTGTTTTGTCTTTTTGGCCTGATCGCCAGCCTCCAAACTTTCATCTAATCCTCTCTTACTAGATCTTAACAGAGGGAACTCCTGGGAGCCCTCCATGGATAACTCTTCCATCTTTTCAGCCATTGTGCCCACCCCGAAGGGAGCGGCAGTCGCTCTAGGGGGGTAACCACTCCCCCCTAACACCTCTTGGCCGTATTCAGGAGCTTACCACCTCGCTGCAGTAGGAATTTTACAGCCTGAACTTCGTTGTCCGCCAGTAGCCCACGTGGGAGGGGTGCCGAACTTTAACCAAGCGGTATGCTTAAAATCAATTTGTCCGTCTACCAGCAATAATCGCACCTCGGATAAACCTCATTGGTTACGATAATGCCACTGCGCAAAGCTATCAGTAGGGTAAAAAAAAAACAGAAAGGGGGACCCACCACCGCAATCCCACTGCTATCTCTTAAGGAGATGAGCAGCGCCCCACTATGCTAGTGAATATTTTTTTTTCTCAGCCTTTCTGTTTATGCTTTGTTTATTTATTGAAATAACTAAATAACGTAACATAGATATGAAAAAAAAAGGGGACCGCTCCTCCGAGACAGCAGAGGGTTGTGTGGCACCCTCCTTACAATTTGCCCGAAGGCCGGAGGTACCTATCAACCCTCCGTTGTCCCATTGGTAGGTCGTGCAAATAAATATAATTTTTTCTATGATTTATGAGCTTAAGACTAACGCAGCTTTGTGAAAATTAAAGTTAATTCTAACCTTCGTGATGGATGGCCTTAAGTTACAAAAGCATCCAGGAGGTTGAGGTGATCCAATGCCAGTAATTCTTGAAATAAGTCCTCTGGAGACTGGAAATTAGGAAGTGCTAAGCGTTCTGGAACGAACGTTATACAGTCAGTAATCCTATGAAAAGGGTCGTCCATTTGCAAACAAGTGCGGCAAGTGAAAGTAGGTGATCTTCCTATTTTATGAAGATAGGAATAAAATTGACCGTGACCCGTTAGCATTTGTACAGATTTCCTGTTTAGAGAAAACTTCGTAGTCTGCAATTGAATTAAGTTAGGAATCCATCTATATGTTGTTCTGCCCTTTGTGGAGTTTTCCCAAAGATCTTGCCAAACTCTAAGAGTTTCCGCTCTTAATGTGTTATTGAGCAGTCTTCTACCCAATGCAGGATGTTCAGGAAGTATGATTTCGCCGTGAGAGGCAGCTTTATGTATTTTGTGCCGTCTTTTAGCGATATATTCACTTATTAGAAGATCCAAGGGTGGAATTTTTGCCAAGATTGCAGCAGCCTCTGTTGAAGTTGTCGAATATGCACCAAGTATTGTTCTGGCAGCTAATCCTCGAACAGACTGGAGTTTAACTTTAAATCGAGCTTGATTAAGTCTATTTTGGAATAAAAATGAGCCGTAACTTATTAGAGGAACAATTGCTCCTAAGAAAATCCTTAAAAGGGAAGATGAAGGAACTCGAAAGATGTGTCTTGATGCTTGTCGCAGCCATTGAAAAATGCCAATAGCCTTATTGCACTGCTTCTGTATATGAGTAAGGAAATTCAGCTTCTCGTCCAGCCAAATGCCCAAGTAGCGATAAGAAGGTACTCTCGATATTCGTTCTTCGCCTAAGCGTATTGTTGGATTTCTGGATATCTTGTTAAATATCATGTATTTGGATTTGTTCGTTGAAAAGCTGATTTTGCTTTCCGCTGCCCAATTGCAGCATGTTTCCAGAGCTTGATTAATCCGAGATTCCAAGTCGTTTCTAGCATTTGCAGTAATTATTATGGATATATCGTCGGCGTAAGCTGTCACGGTTGCAAAACGATGTATTTCGAGGGTCTCCAACAAGTCATCTAGTGCCAGGTTCCATATTAATGGTCCCAATTTAGAGCCCTGCGGGCATCCCTTTTCAATCAGACTAGATACTGTGGAATTCCCAAATGTGAACTCTATGGATCGGTTAGAGAAGTAGCTGAGAAAAAGCTTGTATAGATGAGCGGGACAGTTTTTAGCTCTTAATCTGTTTAGGACACTTGGCCACCATACGTTATTGAAGGCACCTTGTATGTCAAGAAAAATTGCAGCTCTGTATTTGGCTTGAGAGTTATTAAGAGTGCTGAGTACTCTTTCTAAAGCACCTTCTGTAGAACGCCCCTTTACAAACCCAAACTGCGAGGGATGATGTATAGGAGCCACTAACGCCTCATTAAAACGTTGTAGTATAAAGTGCTCCAGGGCTTTCCCCAAAATCGGGAGTAGTGTGATTGGACGTAAAGCATCTGTATCTCCTGAATTCTCCTTGCCAGCTTTAGGTATTGTTATCAATTTTCCGATTTTCCAACAAACTGGGAAATAATTAAAAGTGAAGCAATCGTTAAATAATCTTGCTAAGAAGTTTGCCAAAGCAGGATATGTCGTTTTTAGTATTATACCAGGTATACCATCTGGACCTTCAGCTTTCTTGGTATTAATATTAGCCATATAGTCGGCAATTTCATCCATAGTAATCAATCTATGCTGTATATTTGGAAGATTTCCAAAAAGTGTAGAGCGTCTTCGAGAATTAGCATGAACAGCGGTTTCATCATCAATGTTATCCTTTAGAATGAAGGAGTTAATTATAGCACCAGCTGTGTCCACAAAATCAAGAGTATCTGAGCCATTAATATCTATTGAGTAGAGCAAATTACTGCTTTTGGATTTATTAGCAGCTAATTTGTAAGTGATGCCCCACGGATTTGAAATTAAATCCTCCTCCACAAAGCTAGCCCAGGAGTTAGCTTTAACCTTATTGATCTTCTTCTTTAGAATGTCCAAGTCCTCCAAGTAAGCATTTCGTAAAGCAATTCTTCTAAGCTCCTCTCTCTCGGACTGGAATCTTCTTCGTGACAAATTAGCTTTAATACGTAAACGGTCAATAGACTCATTCCACCATCTGGGCTTATTTTCGTACCTTCTCTTCCAAGGAATGCATTCGCTAGTAATGGACTGCAAAAGTAGAGTCACATTTAAAGCCCTGTCCTCAATATGTCTGATTGTCGGAGACCAAGGATCAGTATCCAGACGAGCTGCGCCAATAATTGCCATATCTAAAGCTTTATTAGTACTAATATTGGCCTTGCATTTGACGAATTGAATTTTCTGTTGCGGAATTCCAATATGTAAAATTATTGTTATAAGCCTATGATCGCTCAAGTTGTTGTCTGTGAGCGACCATGACACCAGCCTGTTTAGAATATCCTCAGAGCTCATAGTGACATCTATATTGCTACTACCGGCTGCACCAAAGTATGTTGTCAAGTTCGAGCGACTGTTTAAAGTGAATAAGTCAATTTCATTAAGAAAATGACACAATTGCTCTCCTCTTTGATCTATTTGGTTGGAAAACCATTGTGGGTGCTTGGCATTCGCGTCAGCTCCACAAAGTATAGGTTTACCTGAATCTCTTAAGAGAGTTCGTAGCTTATCCAAATAAAAATTTACGTTAAATTCGTTTCTTGGCGGCCAATAAGCTGAAATCAGATTAACAGAAAAGGCACCTAAGGAAAGCAATGCCGTAGCCATATATTTATCAGTGTAACTATTGATCTGGAGTATACTTAGGGAAGTATTAAAGATTATGATGCATGATTTAAACTGAACGTTCCTATCAGCTACCAGTCTGGCTCTAGCGAGACCAGGAACAAAATATCTGTCAAATCTGCTTGACGTGTAAGGTTCCTGAAGCAAAAGGACATCCGTGCCATCCTTAAAACAGGTATTTATACATTCCAAAGTAGCTACGTGACTATTGTGCAAATTTTGTTGGCAAATCTTCAAATTATCTATATTAGTTCTCTCCATCTCCAAAGTCAATGTTAGCAATATATGCCTCCAACTTACGTTTGTAAGAGCCACATTTATTATCTCTTGGCTTGTGTTTAGCGTCTTCTTTAGCATTTAAACATAAAATGCACCTATGTTTATCGATATCTTCCTTGTCTGGGCAGGAACGAGAATCGTGCTCCTTAGCGCAGAAGCCACATGCAATTTTGTTGTTGCATTTAGAGGCTATGTGTCCGTAGCCTTGACACTTGTAACATTTGGTTATGGAAATTCGTTCGTCTATTTTGCAAGAGTTCCAGCCGATGTACATGGTACCTCTTTGTAATAGTATCTTCCTTGCCTCTGGACTACACTCAATAACCCAATGCGTGAAGGGCTTTCCTCTGGGTCCTACTTTGAATATTGGTTCTATTTTAGGAGGGTCTAAGGTAGTATCAAAGTTTTGCTTTAGAATTTCATCTTTGACCGATTCTTTTTCTAGATCAACGGGGACGTTAAATATAATTAGTCTAGGTAAAAATTTACCTAGCTGCTCTACTTTGATTTTTAATCCTTCGGTTAATTGTGGATTATTAAGTTTGTGCAAGTTAATGCTATCGGCCTCTATAATGACTTTCTCGTCACGGCGAACGAAGACCCTAACCGGGTTAAAGCCAATATCGGCAGGTTTGATACTCTGCAAGATTTTATTTTTCGTATCAATGCCTTTGATACCTTCATCGGTTGAAGAAATTGCGATTTTGTAGGTTTTGGGCGGAGGAGCCATGGGTTTCTTAATGCCCTGCACTTTAATAGTGCTACCTGCAATAGCTGCATAAGTTCTATTTTGAGAAGACCCAAGGGATTCCAACTTCTTTTCATGAGCCTCTATTTTAGCGTTTTGCTCATTGATTAAGTCCTTGATTTCATTAATTGAATCTGGAATCTCTGCAATTGCTTGAAAAAGGTCCCCCTTTAAATCATCAATTTGTTTCTTAACTTTCTTTGCTGAGTCTTGAAGTTTTGTCTTTGTTTCTCTACTTTCTCTATTGAGACCAGAGATCTGGTTAGTTAGAGTTTTAAAAGCAAGCATAACTTTGCCAAATTGCTCTTCTATCTTAATTTTGACGGGTGACGGTGTACCCTGTTTTGTCTTTTTGGCCTGATCGCCAGCCTCCAAACTTTCATCTAATCCTCTTTTACTAGATCTTAACAGAGGAAACTCCTGGGAGCCCTCCATGGATAACTCTTCCATCTCTTCAGCCATTGTGCCCACCCCGAAGGGAGCGGCAGTCGCTCTAGGGGGGTAACCACTCCCCCCTAACACCTCTTGGCCGTATTCAGGAGCTTACCACCTCGCTGCAGTAGGAATTTTACAGCCTGAACTTCGTTGTCCGCCAGTAGCCCACGTGGAGGGGGGTGCCGAACTTTAACCAAG